CGTCCTGTGCCGTTCGTGCAGCTCCAGTGCTGGGTTTGCCGCCTCCTCCGTTCCCCACCGACGGCAACGTCTCATCAGTCCGACCAGATTCAACACCCCGAGGAGCAGCTTCCCTTGTGGGGAGGGAAGGGTCTGCCCCAGGCTCAACACCGGCGTGTTTCCCCATCACCCATGCTCCAGGGTAAACCTCTCCCATGCCACCGTCTCCAAAAGCTGCGTTGATCGTGGACATATCTCCTGTCTTCAAGGCCAGCTTTACCAGCAGCCAGTGGTGATGGTTTGTCCAGCTGTCCTCCAGACACTCTCCGAATTGCAGAAGCGATGAGATGTTCCCATTTTTGGGATCTGCCGTGGTCCCTTCCCCTGCCGACGACTCTCCGTCTCCGAAAATTCCCAAACTCTGCCCTGCTTGAGAGACATCTCTGGCATCCTTGTCAGCACCAGCAGCTGCAACCCTGCAGGTTGTCTCCAGGAGGCCCTGCCAGATCTCGGTGGACTTGGGGTGGAGCAAGCTGTAATAAACCACCAGAGCTGTGGCACCTAAAAAAGAGCAGAAAGGTGTCAAAGGGTGAGTCCCAGCAGTGTTTTGGTGAGGTGTGGAGGAGAGACCAGACCTCGCTGCCACTTCCATATCAACAGGCTGTCTTGCAGAGATGCTGCTGGGCATCCAGCGTCCGAGCACCATGTCTTTCAAGCATTTTTAAGGGACGCAAAAATCCAACTAGAGCAGATTTGGGAAAGGGAGGGCCGAGCACAGTCTCAAAACTGAATTTACTTTTAACGTGGATCGATTTGCAGACTGATAGGTGCACAGAGAGGCAGATGCTGAGCACCAGCAGACGGGACACGGGGCAGGGAGAAGGCGTGTGATGAGGGAATTCTTCCTCTCTCACAGCATCCCGGTCCTCTAGCCATTAAATGCAGCAGGATTTTAAGACACCTTCCTACTTCTACCCTAAACTCATTCAGGGCCAGAGGGATTGCTCCTTTTCCAGCCCAGACGTGCCCTTTCTTGAACACAGTAGACCTGCGTGCAGCCGGCCTGGGGAGATGCACAAAGCCCAGCACATGGGTGTTACAGCTTCCCCCTGCCCCCAACCTGCTGGGAAAACATGAGCCTGGTGAGGACCTCACCCCGCAAACAGCAGCTCCCATCCTTGCCCAGTGCCAGTTTTGCAAACAGAGGTGCCGATGGGTTGTTTGCAACATACAACCTCTCCTCTCCTTCAGCAGAGTTACACATTCAAGCTTTAGGGAATTAAATGCACCAGCTGGGTGTAGCTGCAAGGTATGGAGTACCTTCTCCATCACGTACCAAAAAAACCCTCCCCATGGACACAAAAAGCGTTTCCATTTACAAAAGCAGCGCCGATCTTTGAAAGAAAAGAGGGTGGGAGAAAGCTGCTGTAGTTCTGCATGGTCCCACACCAGTGTATTCCCAAAACATACCCAGTGATGGCCCATCAATCACAAGCCACCTTCATAATGGATGGGATGCTATCCAGAGGGACCTGGACATGCTGGAGGAGGAACATCACGAGGTCATCAAGTCCAACCATTAACCCAGCACCACCATTTGGTGGGCATGGGACCACTAAACCATGTCCCAAAGTGCCACGTCTATACGTTAGGAGGTGAAAGGATGGAGAGCAGCCCTGTGGAGAAGCACTTGGGGGTCCTGGTGGGTGAAGAGCTGGACAGGAGCCGGCAATGTGCGCTCACAGCCCAGAAGCCACCCGTGTCCTGGGCTGCCCCCAAAGCCGCGTGGCCAGCAGGGCGAGGGAGGGGGTTCTGCCCCTCTGCCCCGCTCTGGGCAGACCCCCCTGCAGGGCTGCGTCCAGCTCTGGAGCCCTCGGCACAGGAGAGACATGGACCTGCTGGAGCGGGGCCAGAGGAGGCCCCAGCAACGCTCCGAGGGCTGGAACAGCTCTGCTGGGAGGACAGGCTGGGAGAGCTGGGGGGGCTCAGCCTGGGGCAGAGAAGGCTCCGGGGAGACCTTAGTGCAGCTG